TTTGCCTGGATGAGTTCAGGGACAGGTTTCTCATGCCATCAACAGAAGAGGACAAACTTTCTTGCCTGCTTGAATACTCAGAGCTCTCCACACTTTCTGCTGAACTACTATCTTGTGATGCATCATGAGAGGCTTGGGCATAGTTTGGATTTGCTACAGGTTCAGTTGCTCTTGGCTTTCTTGGGACTGGAACTGGTTTAGGGCGGTCTGCTTTGGACTGGCAAAGTACAGGAAGGGTAGAAAATGCCTGAGGAGGTTATGACTGTTGATTTTGCCAACTTAACAATTGTTTCACCTCTGCTTGAAGTTGGGAGTTGACAGCGCAATCAAACACTGGCTGATCGCCAGAACACTTCAAAATAAAAGTGCATTTACGGTGGGCCTTTTTAACATGCACAGTCAAGTACTACTAACATTAACACAATTCTGATCTACATTATCTCATGCAGAAGTATGCAGAGTAATAAATCCTCATTTAGATGTTGTGGATGGTTGTTATGTGGTTGCTTAAGCGTTTTGGATGGAAGCCAGGATGTTCTGGGTGGTTGCTTACTGGCCCAAGTCATATCTTAAAGGAGTAGTTCACCCGAAGATGAAAATTAGTTGAAAATGTACTTATGCTCAGGTCAACCAAGATGTAGATTAATTTGTTTCTGCCTCGCAACAGATTTGGAGGAATTTGGCATTACATCTGATCACTTGCTCACCAATGAGTCCACATGGGTGCCATCAGTATGAGAGTCCAAACAGCTGATAAAAACATCACAATAATCCACAAGTAATCCACACCACTCCAGTTCATCAATTATCATCTTGTGAAATGAAAAGCTGTGTTTATAACTTATGACTCTCATTGTGACGGCACCCATTCACTGCAGAGGATGTATTGGTGAACAAGTGATAAATCAAATGCTAAATTTCTCCAAATCTTGGATGGCCTGAGGGTAGGGATGTAATGATTAACTGCGAGCCGGTTGAAAATCAATTTAAATTAGGGATGGGCGGATCGATCCTTAAGTATCGATACTTTCGATACTGATGTTGTATCGAAAGGATCGATGTACTAATATGCTCCCTTTTAGAGGTATAGTTGCACCTTTGAGGTTACTGCCCCAGTAAAGGGCTAAAATACAATTATAGGATATTTTAAACAAATTAAACAAACAAAAAAGGCCTATGAAATGTAAAAAAAAAACAAAAAAAACGTGGCTTTAAAATCTAATATTAAGTGAGTATAATTACTGATTATATTCTTTTAATAATTTAAAAGATCAATTTAGTTTATAGGTATCGGTATCGGTGTCGATATCGACGATACTGGACTTGAAAATATCGGTATTGGATCGAAAATAAAATAAGAGGTATCGCCCATCCCTAATTTAAATATGTGAAGATTCAAATCAGTTGAGATGCTAAACAAATCGCGATTCATTTAGGTGTAGGAGTTTATATGAATGCATGTCTGAGGGGAACTTACTGTCTTTAGAAAAGTTTAGATGGTATTTTTTCTTTTCATCTTGCCACTGTATAATGCATATTAAAGCAGCACTATGTAACTTTTTCTGTGGACTATTGTAGCCTGATCGGGTCGTCACCGCTGCGGAGTAACACATACCTGCGTGAATCGCCATAGACATAAACTTAGAGAAGTAGCTCCGGTCGGAATGTTCTTCCGCGGGATGTGTGCAGTTCTGTTTATTAACCGCTAGAGCGCCAAAAGTTACATAGTGCTGCTTTAAAATTCATAAGTGCAGCACAGCGGAAACCAAGGAAACGCTTTAAGTGCCACCTGCTGGCAAAGAGTGAATCTGCGTCTCATTCAGCTCATCTGCTGTTTCATGCAGATATTTTTATGTATAGTTTCACAAAACTGAAGTCAAACCATTCTGTTTTTGCTTCAAATTTCGAAA